TAAAGAAAATAATTTAAACTACTTTATCAGACTAGTGATCTGTTTATTGGCTAATGTGGGGATCTTTTAAGCCATTTCAGCATACAAAAATCATTAACATCACTAGAACAAAACCATGCACCACACAATTCAAAATTGATGCCGTTAGTATGAAAAATCAAGATAGAACACCCAAAGCAAATGTCCATTCTGTCAAGCAAATATGACAAAGAATAAGTCCATTATTCATCACTTTCTGTTCCTCTTCTTGCTTAACAGGCAAGGGTTCTTTTACACGTGCAAACCTCTGCAAAGCACTAATGTAATCCATGCCACCAAAAGGTAAATTTGGTAGTTACCAATTGTACAGGTAGGGGCCAAAGCGCTAAGGCTTTAGATTGTCCTTAATCATAAGATATCCTCAGACAAACCTCCCCAGTCTTCATTCTGGCTCTACAAACAAAATTAAGCACAATTGAAATTTTTATAGTGCATTTTGCATGTTTGTGTAAATATAATCAACTTCACATAGGTTTATGGATATTAGTACTGTTTAGGTTTTTCTAAACGAGTGTTATCAAGTAAAAGGCTAGTGAAAATATGAAGAAAAATGAATGTATTACACAGATACACCTCACTTTTAACATATGATAAGCAGTGAGTCTTCACTTTTCCAGAGGGTTGCCAAACTCCTAATTAGGGTATTGATTTTCAGAATAGTAAGGGAATTGCTTATAAAAGCTATAGGAAATGTAGCAGTAGCAGGGAAATGTTTCTTTTTTCATTCCCTACTCCATTCATATATAAAAAGGTGATGAGTAAGAGGATTTTTTTTTTAAGTAAGAGAAGATTGAATCTTTTTTAAAGTAAGAGAAGATTGAATCCTTTCAGACAACCCTAAGAGGTAGTCCTTGATTTACAACCATTTGATTAATGATGGTTTGCAGTTATTATGGTCTTGGGAAAAGCAACTTACAACTCCTCCTTAAAGTTATAGCGATTGCACTATCAACATTACCTGATCAAAATTCAGGCACTGAATTTATGATGACTGCAGTGTCTTGTGTTATGTGATGGCAATTTGTGACCTTTGCAGCTGTCTTCCAACAGAAAAATCAACTCAAGAAGTTGGATTCCCTTAACGACCACATGGTTCACTTAATAATCATGAGATTTGCTAAACAACTGTGGTTTTAATGATCTCAGTAACAATGGCTGTAAAAATCAGGTCCACTCAAACGATGATTCATTTAATGATTCTCTTAACAACCAAAATTCCAGTCCCAATCACAGTGGTATGTTGGGAACTACCTGCAATGGATCTAGAAACATAGAAAGTTTAGTTCCATTCGGGGTGGGTGGGGGGTGGGAAACAGGACCCAATGAAGCTGCAAGAGAATAAAAAGTTCAGCATCTTTCTTCCACAAGCTTCTTTTAAGATCCTCTTCAAACTGTTTCTGTATCCAAATGCAGATTCTGCTCCAGTTATTTATCAATTACTGTATCAGTACAGTCTATCAGCACTATATCTAAATTTACTTTAAGAAATTACAATGTAAAACACAAGAAATAATGGAAAGAAACAGCTTTAGCACAGTGTCGTTAGCATATGTTAAAAATTTAAATTGAAAACACCAATTATCTAAGAAGGGTGGTGACAGTTTTAAAATTTAAAAGTTTGTAATTGAGATTATATAGCTTTTCTACATAAAAAATTTCCTGCATTATGAATGAGGTTCAGTGATGTACAACTTCTCAAAAAATCAGGTACTGACTATAAGAGTGCCAATTAATTTATTTTAAACAGACATTCAGCATATATATTAATGAAGCAACATGTTTACATCCCTAAGATTGATTTTATATCACTACTATATCAGTTGTATGTAGCTATCAGAGTGATAGAAATAAGATAAATGAGAAAAAACTATGACAACATACACAAGTATAACTCAACCTCTAACATAGATATTTCTTCTCAGTTATCCTTTTTACATTACATATTATTCTGTTAGTTTTCTGTAACTAGAATAAATAGTATGGGAGAGTGATAAAGTCATAATTTTATATGGACCAATCTAGTGGTATTAGGTGTAATATTATTACATTAGATATAAAAATATAACATAATACTGCGTTTCCTCCATTTGTTTAGGTATATAGGACTTTTGACGAAAACTATTTTTACTGAATCAAATATATTTGTATTTGATTTTAGGTTTCACGATCTGTATCACTAGTGACCTGAATAGTAATAATAACAGTCTAAAATGCGTACACAAAAGAACTTTGAATGCCTGTGCTTATTGCTTGCACTTCTTTCCTCAGAGTATCAGTCTTGGAGGAATAACTAAGCAAGTTAAGAGTTATTTTCCTTAGCTGTTGTTTCCTCTATTGTAACTTTCCTTATATATTTTCAGCTCTTTATTATTTCCTCATATATTTTCAGCTCTTTATTATTTCTTTATATTTTTCAGCTCTTAATTATGACTCCAATTCAGCTTTCTCACAAAAACAATTAATGTGTCAGAACCAGATATTCATTAATATTTTAAACAGAGCCAGCTTAATGGATTGTCTTTAATAAATATTCACAAATCATTCCTACATTTCAACAGAATTTTACCTTGTGGGTAAACATGGCATTATAAAAATTCCTGCTTCTGCAAGTGGGTAATTGTCTACCTGCAGACCTGGCAAAAAAAACTGTAACCAATGATATACCAATTTGACAAAATAAAGTTGCAGTGAAAAACGTTCATTTCAAAACCATATTAAACAAGTTCTTATTACGGATGATAACATTTTAAAATCAATTTCATTATATTACTAATAATAATGATAATAATAATGCCCAAATAAGAAAAAATGTCCTTATATGCCTATACTTCATTGATGAGCATTTAAGTTTCATCCCTATAATTGTTGGGCAATGAAGCCCATCAAGCAGTGTCAAAAAAAACATATAATCTTTATTCTTAAGAGGGAAGATTGTACAGTATTAATGAAAAATATGAGATAAGCAAATTGTTGGGAAATGCCCGGGCAGGCAGGGGAAAAAATTCAAGGGGGAATTATTGAATTGTTGCACAGCCATAAGAGATCCAAGACTGATCCTCCACTTCAAAGCTCCATGAGAACTTATCTATTCCCAAAGAAAGACTAGCAATCTGGGGAGATTCCTGTGTTTTGGCAGAATTCAATGAAGTAGTTGCTTGAACATGTGGCTCTGGTTGTTTGTGCCTGACATAAATCTGTCTTTGCCTAATTTTGCACAAATAATATTTTATTTTACTGAAGAGGTCACTGAATATAATGCACGTATTATTTACATAAGCAAAGGAATTATTCCTATACAAAGGAATAAAATGTATTAATTAGAGATCAAGCTAAATACTTATTAATTTTAAACTTTTAAACTTTTATTTTTTATTTCTACTCACCTAGTAGAGTCCTTTACTAATATAGTAGAAATCCAACACAGATATTATATTTCAAGACTCTACAAGGGAAGTATGTGGTTACAAATTCACTCCAGGTTAAAAAAGAAAACGTATTATTCAGAAATTCTTAAGAATACAAATGAATTCAGTGACAATTTTATTACTTTAAAAACATCTTGAACAGATGCATGTACAATTAATTTCTGAGAGATTAATACAGGAACAGAAGCTACAGATTTGTCATGGGTTTTACATACAAAATATGTTGAATATTTTTCTTCTACAAAGACTTTTAAAAGGAATATAGTATATAGTATGATTATTCAGTTAACTTTATTAAATTTCCTTCTACTATAGTTAGTATATCACATAATTAATTTCTTTCTAAATCGCTGAGCTATATAAGTAGGGATTTCCTTGGGAATTTTGTAAAAATTCCTGACCTCCTGTCCTTTCCTTGATTATCCTCAGGACAATAATATTCTTCAAGATACCTTCAGCATCTTCCCTGACACAGACAAACAAGCAAATTTTCTGTCTTTTTTCCTGCCAATATCTGTGATAGGCTACTATGTTAATAACTTACACATGGAAAACTTCCACTTTGTCATTAATGTTTAAATATTTTAAATAAGTAAATCTTTCAAATAACCAGCTCCTTCTAAAATGGCTAATTTCCAAGAAAGCTACATTTTATCAGCAAATACAACTACATGAATTTCCCTTAAATAGCTATATTAAAACTTTCAACTGATAAATACAGGGACAGAATATGATGAGAGAATAAAATAAATACATCTATTAACACATCCCATGTAATGCTGGCCAAAAAACCCCAATTGTTTCTATTTATATAGCAAGCCAAGCACAATTTTCCTAAAGCAACATACAAAAACTTTGCTAACACGATAGAGCTATACTCAAAACTCATGTTTTATTACAATATATAAGTATTATTGTGAGCATAGATATGAAAAAATCATGACAAAGGCATTATTTACTGCTCTGTCACCAAACTTGAATAAACATGAAACACATTTCCTAAATTAATAAGAAGTGAAGAAATGTATTTTAGCTACTACACTATAATCTAAATTCAAATTTTAATTCACTTTAGGGCAAGGGGGTTTAGATACTACAGGCCAGAAAAATTAGACGTTTTGGAATAATTAGCAGATCTAGATATAGTTCCAATCCTTAATCTAGTTATAAGACTAGTATTAAAACTATTTGATAAACACTTACTGCTCATCAAATTACATTCGCTGTAGCAAAATGACTTTAAAAAACACTTAATAATAGAATCTAATTTTTGGATTTCAACAATAAAAAGTAGAGACATACAAGTATGACAAAATTATTCAATCAATTAAAAAGGCAAAACGTAAGTTGAGCAGAGAAGTGTCTAGATCTATATGAATACAATTGTATAGCAGCATAAAATATATATAAAAATAAAGGTAAAATATGGTAAAAGTGATGAAAAGCTTTTCTGCAAACTTGGAAGAAATGGAACAAAATAATGTGTATCAGCCCAGCATGCCGGTGTGCTTTAACAAAGAAACAAAAATTGTATACCTCTTGTAATAGATCTGCCTGTTCAATGGCTTTAAGAACATTTTTCTTGGAGGTCTCTTGAACTTCTCCTCCCAAGAGGAATTCATCCAAAATAAAATAAGCCTTCTCAAAATTAAAGATGATATCAAGTTCACAAACCTAGAAAACATTAAAAAAAGAAAGATGCAATGCCCAAACAGGACTTCTCTGCAATGATCTATGGCAGAGGTGTGAAACTCAAGGCCCACAGGCCTAAACTGGCCGCATGGAAGCTCTGTGTGGCACATTTTCAGCCGGCAGAGTGCTGCAGGGGCCCTGGAGGCCAAAACTGAGGCACAGGGGGACCATGCGCAGCCCCTCACATCCCATTTTGGCTGGCAGGTTGCTGCAGAAAGTGTCCTCCGTCCCATCTCCCCCTCTTCCCTGTGAAGAGCTATAATGCTAATCCAGCCTTCAAAGAAATCCAGTTTGACATCCCTGCTCGATGGAATGCTTTACTTCCAATAGTATGGATGACCACCACCCCTGCAACACTGTTGGCATTTTCAAACTAGCCAAAGTATTTTGTCACTGTGCATTCAATCCTTGAATTAGCTTACTTATAGCTCATTGATTAGTGATTTATTCATTAATTTATTGATTACATCTATTTGATATTTACTGATGTTATCTTAATAGTAATACAGGTAGTCCTCAATTTACAACCACAACTGAGCCCAAAATTTTTGTTGCTAAGTGAAACATTTGTTAAATGTTTTTTGCCCCATTTTATGACTTTTCTTGCCACAATTGTTAAGTGAATCACTGCAGTTGGTAAATTAAATAAAATAGTTAAGTGAAACTGGTTTCCCCATTGACTTTGCATGTCAGAAGATCGCAAAAGGGGACACAGCAATTGCCATAAATATGAACCACTTGCCAAGCATATGAATTTTGATCATGTAACCATGGGGATACTATGATGGTCATAAATGTGAAACGTGGTCATAAGTCACTTTTTTCAGTGATGTAACTTTTAAGGGTCACTAAATGAACTCTTGTAAGTCAAGGACTACATGTATTGCATTTTTAATTTGACTGTTAATCTGATCAGCATCTGCAAGATCTTGGGTAGCCTACAGTCTACATCAGGGGTGTCAAACCCACCCGCATCGCAGGCCATATCATGACATATTGCAATGTTTTTGCCTTTGTGGAGCCGGGGTGGGCACGGCCTGCACAGGCCGTATCCGGCCCAAGGCCCGTCCCTTTGACAGACCTGGTCTACATAAATACACTTCCGTATTATCCATCTTGGACAAAATAAAGGGAGAAAATCATGAATATGTGAGTAAAGTAGCATTTTAAAGACAACATGCAGAATACCTATGAACTAGTCCTCTTTGCAAAAAATGTTCTTTATTGTTCTATAAACCCCGACAATCTTCTTTAGCCACAAGACATAATGAAAAGCATTGATAATGAAAAACATTCATGTTATTACTCTGTTCCATGGCCATCCAACTTTTTTAAAAAATTAAAAAGTTGAATAAAGAGTTGCAAAGCAGGCACCAGTCTGTAATAGATCTGCTGTAATCTCTTTGAATACACAGAGTACTCTAGGGTTTGCACTAGCAATTCGGAGGGAGCTACTTCCAGTAAATTGGTGTTTTGTAACTGATCATATTCATTATGACAACATTTTGTAAACTGGCTATTTTTTAACATATATACTGCATATTTTCAAATTCCAAAATTTCACTTTTCTCCCATGAAAATATAGAAAAATATCCCTACAACAGAGATTTCCCTGAAGAATTCAGAACAGTATTTTCTCCAGTTTCTTCCTCTCCCAGCAGGTAATCACTACTTTTTATGCTGTTTTACGGAAAATGATTTCATTAATGGGCTTTATTCAAATGTGAGAGACAGAAATCTTTCTGCTACTTCCTTTTTCACTGAGAACCAATGAATCTATCTCTGAGACTTTCAAAAACTAGAAAAAAATACAGGAAATAACTTACACTTCCAAAATATTTATCAAGTAATTCTACATAACGATGAATTATTTCCAAGGTTATTAACTCATTATCTTGATCTTCAATGGCACAACAGAAATAGAGGCTTGCATATCTGTAAGACACATATTTAATTTAGCAGAGATGTAATAACCTTTTGTAGTCTTAGGTACATTTAGCAACAGTTTAACAAAAATGTTCAATATTTAAAATAAAATTAAAATGTCGCGTTTGTAGACATTGACAATAAAACATTATTTAGTGTAAAAAAAAGTAAACCTGGTAACTGTGAGCTAAAGAAAATGAGTAAAATGCTTTTAAAATTCCTTTTCTTCACTTTCTTATACTATTGGTTGTGAAATATGGTTGTTAAGAATAAGACAATTTGTTGAAAAACAAAATTTTTTGATCTCTTTTAGATGGATGAGTTCTTATTCTCCTCATAATTTAAATTATCAGGTAGCCTTTTTGAGAGATGGACAGTAATACAAATTTGATTAATAAATACACATTACAAATGGGATTCTACGTGCTCAGCAACTGATGGCCAAATGAAAACAATAAAAGACAGAAAAGCACGTTAATCAATTACAGTATAATTTGTTGTTTCTACTTATAACCCACATTACAAAAAAAGGGCAGGTTCAGATGGTCAAAGCTAGAAGAAACAAGGAACAAAAGGGAAAGGTAGTTATGACATCAAGAAAAGCAGGCATAAAAGTGAGATATTAAAAAGTTGCATAATTGTTAAGAATTTTCAAAAGGAAGCAATTATGCTCCTCTAACCCATTGGGGAGAACAAAGACAAGAGCAGCAGTCCTTTACATATTCCTCTGGGATGCCCACAATAGTGCCCACAACCCAATAGAAGAGCTTGCACCACTATGTTGTTGTTTTTCTCCAAAAAATTTTGAGGTAATCCTATGTTTTCAGGAACACTCAATTTCATTGTTCTTGTATCCACTCTTTCAGTCTGACTTTGAGAACAAGTAAGTGTAATAGAGTGTTTTGGAATACAAACATCCAAAATGGCAAATATAGCTTTACCTTCACAAACAAGATAAAAATTAAACATCATGGTGGAACTTTTTGCATGATTATTATGAAATCCATGATGTAGCAATCTTAGGAGACAATCTTTCACCAGTTTCTTAGAGCTGACTTATATAAGTTATAAGTTAAGGCCTATACACCACTTCTAAAAATTTCAAACTGCATAAAATTTGTCTTCAACACAGACCGCAAAAATATATGGTGTGCAAATATCTGACTCATATAAACATAGTTATGTAAGTCAATATTTACATGAGTTATTTAGTCTTTCTGAAATAGAACGTTACATAAATTGAGAAGAGTCTAGGTATCTATATGGAAGGACCATATTTTTTGGCGTGTAAGACACACTTCCCCACCCCCAAAAGTGGGTGGAAATATCCATGCGTCTTATACAGCGAATGTTACCAAAGCCCTGCCCACCCACTGGCCCCCACCTTTCGGCCTCTGTCTCCCAGCAATTTGTCTCCTTGCAGCAAACAGCAAACAGCCTAGCCAGCTTCAGCACAGCCTGATTAGTACAAGTAGCTGACGGTTGGTTGGATCAGCCTCCCAGTGAATTCAGAAGCTGTTTTCAGTGATGATGTGTATATACATCATCTGTGGTAAACGACCTGTGGTACATTAAATTGATTGGACATGATTTAGAAAGCACGGACCTTTCTATAGGAGGCTTCACAGCTGACAATGAAATACTGTAGCAGAGCAAAAGCCACAGGGTCAAAGAAACTGCCTGCGGAGCTCAGACACAGGATTATTGCAAGGCACAGATCTGGGGAAGGCTACAATAAAATTCCTGCTGCACTGGTCAAACTGAGCAATTGGGGGAGAAGGACCTTAGTAAGAGAAGTGACCAAGAACCCGATGATCACTCTAATTAAGCTTTGGAGATGTGACCGAGTTTTAGAAGGATAACCATCACTGCAGCAGTCCACCGATCTGGGCTTTATGGAACGGTGGCTAGACGGAAGTCCCTCCTCAGTACAAAACACATGATAGCCAGTGGTGGTATTCAAAAAATGTTACTACCAGTTCTGTGGGCCTGGCTTGGTGGGTGTGGCCATGTGACTAGGTGAGTGTGGCTTTTTTTGCAGCCCCCACCCATTTTGGGGAGCTTCTTAGCCACAGAGGAGTCTCTGGGGAGACGTTTTTGCTCCCCTAAAGCTCCTCTGGGGCTCAGGAAGGAAAGGAACAGAGCATGGGAGGGGCATGCAGCACTCCTCCAAGCTCCGTTTTGGGAGCTTCTTAGCCTCAGACAAGCCTCGTGGGGGGGCATTTTTGCTCTCCTAAGGCTCCTCTGGGGCTCAGGAAGAAAAGAGACAGAGCATGGGAGGGGGATGCAGCACTGCTCCAAGCTCCATTTTGGGAGCTTCCTAGCCTCAGAGAAGCCTCGGGGGGGGGGGGGGGGGGGCATTTTTGCTCTCCCAAGGCTCCTCTGGGACTCTGGAAGGCAAAAAATGGAGTGGGGGGCTGAGCTCCTCTCTCCATTTTTTGCCTTCCTGGGCTTCAGCAAGGCGAATCCCAGCACAGCTGATCTTATTTACAGCTGATTATAGGGAGAGAAAAAAAAGAAATACCTTAGGTGAATGTCAGGCAGGCGGGCGGAGTGAGCGAGCATCAGGCGACTGGGTGGGTGGGAGTGGCCAGCCAGAACTTATTACCGGTTCGGCGACCCATGCCAAATTCTTGCTACCGGTTCGCCCAATCCATTGCAAACCGGCTGAATACCACCCCCAATTGAAGGACTCTCAGATTGTAAGGAACAAACTCTCAAGCCGACTTTTGTGTGTTTTGCATTGTCAGCCGTGACGCCTTCTATAGAGAGGCATGTGCCTTTCCAAATCATGTCCAATCAATTTAGTTTACCACAGGTCAACGCCATTCAAGATGTAGAAACATATCAGCAACAATCAAGAGAAATGGGAGGCACTAGAGCTAAATTTCATTTGTTGTGGCAAAAAGTCTGAACACATATGCCAATGTGATCTTTCAGTTGTTTCTTTTTATGAATTTACAGACATTTCTAAAATTCTGTTTTTCTTTGTCATTATGGAGTACTGGACGTAGATTAATGAGAAAAAAATGAATTTCAACAACTGTAGAATAAAGTTGCAGTAAAACAAAACTGATAAAAGTGAAGGGAGTCTGAATACTTTCTGAATGCACTGTAGTTAGCTAGGTATTTTACCTATTTTACCTCATATTATGTTCCACTGACTATTTAATTATTATACTATTTTTGGATCTGTGAAACACTTTTGACTATCACTGGAAAAAAAAAGAGTTATTTATTTCACATGAAAATATATGGCTATTGCATGACAATAAACAGAAAAAACATTGCCATTCCATTTTCAAAATGCATCCATTCCTTGACTGAGCAAGAAAATAAGGTGCTTATAATTTTAGTAAGTAATCCTTAAATATTATGCTTGAATTCTTTAGGAAAATTGCCACAAAACATCTCTGATTAGATTACAGCTTACTTTTCTACATCACTCCAGGTGGTCACTTTAGCAATCTCAATGTAAATGTAAGTAACACACATATTAGGATTCAATATCCCATTTAACTTTTAAAGCAACATTAAGTTTAATGTTCATTAAAACTAAGGTAATGAATAGGATACTTCAATAGAAGCTTATCCTTACATGGAATACAGCCTTAATAAATTGTGTAAAACTTAATACCTGACATCATCTCTTGAAACAAGATTTGGGAGCAGTTTCAAAATTTAAATCATGCAGAATTAGTGTCAGACAAATTTTCAATTAAATATATAAAATAAGTATTATAATGACAATCTGTGAAAAATGTATGTTTAATATAGAAAATTTCTATCATAGTTTGCACTTTCTTTAAAACCAGTGTTTCTGATACATGCGAATTATTCCTATAAAGTTACTTTGTGATAGCTGAGATGACTCCGTAGGGTTCATATTACAAAATGCAAAACTCAAACTGAATTTTATTTCCATTTTCTAACTCTCAAGTTGAATTTAAACTTAAAAAATAGAAACATCATTTCACCATTCACACTATGGTCTTCATTGTTATTTAATGTGCAAAAGAATCATTTCTTCCATTTTTGATGGACTTTCTATATTTGATGAATTAGATTGTAGCTTGAAGTAAATTTTTAATTAAACCACAGTGAGTAAACATCTTTTGAAACCTGTATTGCAGCTGAATACAAAACTATTTTACATACTGCAGTGTACCAGTGTGACACGTTCTAAGAACCTAAAAAGGAGGGAGATCTATCTATCTATCTATCTATCTATCTATCTATCTATCTATCTATCTATCTATCTATC